GCCGCCTCCAGCCGCCCTGCACGTGCCGACGATGCCCTGCCGGACGGGCAGCACCGCTGACCCCCTCCCTGCGCCAGCAGCACCAGGGGACACGCCCATAGGGGTGTCCGGGCAACCCTGTCCCCCTGTGGGACCCCAGCCCACCTCAGCACGTCCATCTCATCGCGCAGGGCCCGGGCCTCCCCGGCCAGGCCGCTCAGCTCCTCTGCTCGTGCCTGCAGCCCCCGCGCCTCCCGCTCCAGCCTGTTGCAGCGTGCCCGCAGCTCCTCCTTCCCGCTCTCCAGCCTCCGCAGTGGGGACCCCGGTGTCAGGGGCACCCCCACGGCACAGGGATGTGGGATGCATCTTGCCCCCTCCCCCGACCCCCACTTTTTTCTCTCTGGCACAAAACCCAGACCCCAGAAATCGGGGTGACCCCCCTGCTAAGGGAGCCAGGCACCCGGGCTGGCCCCCTCCCCCTGCCCAGGGGACCCAGGCATCCGGGTCCTACCGGTAATTCTCCTCCTGCAGCTGCTCCACCTGTGTCTGCAGCAACAGCAGCTTCTTGGTGGTAGCACCAGCGGCGTCAGCCTCCAGCTGCGCCTTCTCCTCCCGCAGCACCCGGTTCTCCTCCGCCAGGCTGCCCTTCTCCTCCAGCAGCACCGCCACCTGCCCCGCGCCAGCAGGACCCAGGTGTCCGGGAGGAGGCCCGGGTGTCCGGGTTCCCATCCCAGTGGAGTCTCGCTGTGTGTGTGCACCCAACCCTCACAGAGGACAGCAAAAAATCCTCTCCCACTCAGCATTACTGCTTTGGGTGCCCTCACCCCAGCTCTAGAAATGGGGAGGGAACAGCACTGGGGGACCCAGATGATCGGGGGACCCCTGCACCCACCAGGAGGACCCAGCCATCCAGGCCCCACCTGCTGCTCCAGTTCAAGGCAGCGCTGCTGCGGTCCCCCGGCCTCCTCGGGCTCCTCGCTCAGAAAGTAATAGCGCCGTGACTGCAAAAGGAAAAGACGGGGCGGTGTCAGTGCTGGGGGGTCACCCAGACACCCTCAAACCCCCTCAACCGCTCTCTTTCCCTCCCCAACAATCCCCAATCTACCCCAGCCTTGGGGCTCCCTGCATCCCCCCCCCCCACACGCTCCCCCTTCAGTCATCCCCCACCGACCCTGGCCTTGCTCCCCTATCCCTGCACCCAGCCCCCCCAGTCTGCCCCCTATCCCTCTACCTGTGTGTCGAAGTTCCCATACATCTCAACCGCCATCGTCTCTGACGGCTCTTTATCCAAAAGCTGTATGAAGGAAAAAAATCACAAAATGGGGTTTGGGGGGCTCTTCAGCCCCCCCCATAACCCCCACGGCTTCCCCAAAATCCCCCAAGAACAACCCCCAAAAACCTTCCCACAGAGCCCTCTGGCCCCATTCACTCTCAAGCCCCCAAGATGCCCCAAAATCCCCCTGAGCCCAACCCACAGGGACCCCCAACCTCTCCTGACACCCCTGACCCGCCTAGGGCCCCCAACACCTCCTGGGGAACCCCAACAGCCCCCTGGGGACCCTCAAACCACTCCCACCTCCTGGATGGCCGTCATCACCACGTGCTGCACCGACTCCTCCAGTGTCATGATGCGCTGGATATGTTCTGCAAACGAGAGATGTGGGGGGGTTAGGGGGGTCAAGGGGCATTTCAGGGGGGTGGGGGCCCCCCAGCCCTGCACCCACCTTCCCGCCTCTCGCAGCTCACAGCGCACCCCAGCACCAGCCGCACCAGTTTGCCCAGTTGCTCCGGGTCAGCGTGCTGGGCTGCCAGCGCCACGTCGGGCACGTGCTGCTCCGCCACCGCCTGGCCCAGCACCTGGGGGGCCGGGAAGGGGGGGGCAGGGTCAGCCTCCCTCTGGGGAACCTCCCCACCCCAAAATGGGGGGCCCGGATGCCTGGGTCCCCCACGCCCCCCCACACTCACATCCTGCCAGTACTCCAGGACGCTTTGCAGCACCTTCCGCAGGTTGCTCACCTGTGTGTGGGGGGAAAGCTGGGAACCCCCCCCCATACCCCCAAAATACCCTCCCGCATTGCTGTGGCCCTGCCTCAAGTTTCCCCGAAACGGCCCTCCCCAACTGAATCCCCCAAAACTCTCCCAATCAGCCCCTGCATTGCATCCCCCAAAATGCCCCCCCCAAACAAGCTGCCCCCAGACCCCCCCAAACCAACACTTCCAAAACCTCCACTCTCCCTTCTAACTCCCCAGAGCAGACCGAAGGCTGAGAATGATCCCCCAAAACACACACAGAAGTGTCCCCCCACAAACATGCCCCCCCCAATACGTGCCCCCCCACCTTCAGCCGCCAGTTATCCTCAGCATCATCCCGGATCCGGCCCAGCCATGTCTCGTTGAACCACGAGGCGTCGCTGGGGGGCACAGGGTGGTTCCCAAAATCAGGTCCCCTCCCGCCACGCTGCCCCCACCTGGGGGTGCCCCAGACCCTTTGGGGGGCCCTAAGGGTGTCCCCAAAGTGGGGGGCCGTGTCCCCCTACCACTCACATGCTGTGCAGGACGTGGGCGAGGGCCACCCCACTAGCCAGGTCCTGGGGGGAGGCACAGGGCGAGGGGGGGGCGAAGGTCTGCAGCTGGGGGGCACAAAGGGGGGGGTCAGGGCATGGCCACCCCCGAAACAGCTCCCCTGGACCTGCTCAGAGCTGAGAACAGACAACTCGTGTCCTGCCCCCCCCCCCATACACCAATGCCTCCCTTGCAGACAGGGGAGCCCCCAAACCTGCACAAGCCCCCCAAAGCACTGCAGGGAGGGCAGGCCCCCCCTTTTTACCCTCAGCAACATTCTCCTAGGCATAGGGTAGAACGCACTGGGCTGCCCCCCCCCGTTAACCCCCCCACATTAGCTGGGGGCAAAGGGCACCAGGTGGATCACTGGGTGCTGGGGGGGGTCACAAGGGCTCAGCAGGTACCCGAGAGGAATCACAGGGCCTGGGGGGGTGGGGAGGTGTCACAGGGTGCCGGGTGTGCTCGGG